GTGACCAGTACATTATCCCTGAGACATTACAGATTTAACCTCAGGCAATCATTCCAGAGGTGGTTTACTTCCTGCAGATACCACCAACCTAAGGATAAATGGATATTAATGAGGCTGTTGCAAAAATCCAAAGCTCTTTGAGCTGTTTGAAGCTTTGCATATAACTACAAAGGGTTATTATTTCATCTCAGGAGTAAGTGATCCCCTAACATGGCCTCATTAACATCAAAAAGCAGGCAGAGACAAAGCCAAAATTGATTCCTGATTTTGAAATCCATCCAAACCATTTCTCTTCTTGGAAGACAATTCAGACACAGCTGACAATAAATTTAGATAAGAAACTTATAGATGCATCTATTTTATGATTCTTCCATAACTCCTCTTAACTATGACAGTAAGTGTACATGAAAATCTATTTCCAAAGCCAAACAATTCCAATCATACTTGGAAAGTCTGAAATAAGGAAAACAGATCTTTTTTTTTTTTCTCTTACCACTCAAGTGTTGAGTGATATAAGGTAAAGAATAAAATCCCCTTGTTGATACTGCTGAAAGAATATTCAGCCTGATGTAGTAAGATTTTATGAGAGTGTTAGATACTCTTCTCAGAACAGGAAGGTGCTAATCACAAATCACAAGTCCAAGTGAGTGGGAGTGGTTTTAATCTAGGTTCCACAAATGCTTGGCCAGTCCCATGGAAAACCAATGACAAACACAACTATGTGATTTCAGTATTCATTCATATCACATTGTAAAAACAGCAAGGAACTAAACTATGGATTGATGTGTCACAGGGTACAAAAAATAAACCCTTTGAAATCATTTTTCAAATGAAACACGTCTAAAGGGTACCAAGAGATTTGGGAACCTTGGTGTTTAACCGGGAGAACTTTACTACAAATGGAAGCTCTGGATACAGAACACTGCTATGATCATGTCAGCCATGACTGAGACATTCTTAACTATGCCTGGCAGAAACACTTTAACCGAAAGATGCCAGAAAAAGAACAGAAATTTTTGTTACACACTTTTCACTCTTTCATCAAGTTCTTGTTAAATACCTACTCTCGGCCAGGGATTTCTCTCAGTGGTTCCACCGCCTGCCTGGCAAGCGAGAGGACCTGAGTTCAATCCTGGGTACAAAAAAAAAAAAACAAAACTCCTACTCTCAGCAAGGTACAGTGCTGGCACTTTAGAGGGTCTAAGACTTCCTGCCACCAAGGAGCACTGAGTCCCATAAGGTGAAAAGCAAGCTGGCAAATATTTAATATGGAAAGTGTGAAACATGGAAAGGCTTGAGGGAACTGCTGAAAAACCTCATGAAATGAGAAGAAAGATGTTGTATATAGCTAGGTCAAGGAAAAACTGAAAGGGAACAGGCAGCCTCCAAGCATAACTTTCACCTCAGACCCAGGGTGCAGCTGGAACTAAAGGGATGACAGGGAGAAGCCCTTACCATATCTGGAGAACACAAGTTTTTCAATTTGGCCAGAGCCTAAGTCTGATGAAGAACCCAATTTTCCTCTTAAAACAAAGTCAACAAATACGTTCTAAAATACTTAAAGTCTGCATTTATTGAGCAACAAACATATTAGGAGCTATCAGAAGGGTGTTGGGGGAAGGCATATATTAGAGGGAGGAAGAGAAAATAAAACTCTTGGTAGGCATCCTTCTTCTAGGGCCCTCTAACATTCTGCTCTTCTTTAGATGTTCCCTCTAGGCTCCTCAGTGTCCTCCGCAAAGTCTGCTGCTGCCTGCACCACAGGAGCAGAGTGACTGTTCCTGGAATCCTGCAGGAGACAGGAGACAGGTCTCTGACTTTGTGTCTCCTGGACCTTGCATGGCATGTGACACAGTGAAGGTTCTTAAAAAATGTTTGCTTACTCAGTTTCTGCACAAATAAACTGAACTGTTCAATGAGTGGACAGATGTTTAAGATAAATGCTGCTCTCAAGTACCAGAGAGAAGACATATTCTGGGACATTTCAATATAATACAGAAGGCAACCTACAATAAATTCACATGAATAGCTTTTTATATAATGATATGTTCAAGCAGGTGAACAAGGAATAGTTGAACAAGTTTATTTTAAAACCCCCTTTCAAATCTGAAAATCACATCATAAATGTAAATGGGGCTGGTTTATAAAGAGCACTGAATGACAACGCAGTCATCCTTTGGTGCCCCCAAGGAATTAGTTCCAGGAAAAACTCACACCCAGCATGGATATTAACATTTGAAGATGCTCCAACCCCTTGTAGAAAGTGGCATAATATTTACATAGAACCCATATATATCTTCTCACATATATCCTACTTTATTTTCCTTACAATTCTAGTGACAATACTCCAGCCATATAGAAGCTAGTCAAGTATTCTACCGCTGAGCTACATACCAATGGCTCCCATATATTGCAGATATTCTCTAGATTGCTTTTAATACCTGCTACAATATAAATGCTACGTAACCATGCATGGTGGTGCACGCCTGTAATCCCAGCACTTGGGAAAATGAGACAGGAAGACTGCTCCAAGTTCGAGGCCACCCTGGGCTACATAGTGAGTTCAAGGCCACTCTGGGCCAGAGAGCAAGATTCTGTCTCAAAAAAATAAAATCTTAAATAAATAAATGCTATGTAATAGTTCTTGTATGGTATTGTTTACAGAATGATGTTGAAAAACTGTGCATATAAAGAACAGGCACAAATTGTTCCAAATACTTTCAATCTGAAATTAGCTGAATTGTTAAATATGGAAGCTATCGAACAGATAGTTAACCATTTAAGAAAGTTTTGATATTATAATGGAAAAATTAAATTTATTCTGGTTTTAAGAGGTGATATAAAATGACAGATTCAAGAAATATCTTTCAACAGCCAGGGATTTAGCTCAGCAGTTCCACAGCCTGCCTTGCAAGCGAAAGGACCCGAGTTCAATCCCCAGTACCAAAAAAAAAAAGAAGCACCTTTCAAAGACTAGATTAGACAGAAGGAAAAATAAACAGAAATCCATGTAAAAGAAACAAAGGGGAAAGGGAAGCAAGGCCTAAGTAGGAGAATTAAAGGTAGAATAGTGAGAGTTTACAACTAAATAATTCTGACAGGCAAAAGAAGGAAGAGATAACAAAAGATGATCCAAAGTTTGGGCACATGTGGCCAAGAGAACAGTAGTAGTACCACAGCCCTTTTCCCCCAACAATCCCAGAAAAGGACAATTTTCTTACCTTACTTGTTACATATATTTAATTACCATGCTGATTTCGAGGGGTAGGTTAAACCAATTAAATCAAAATCTAGGGAACTCGGAACTAGGAATGCATAGATATGCATTTTAAGATGCTTTTACTTTTGGTACCAGGGATCAAACTTGGGACCTTGCACTTGAGAGGCAGCGGGTAGAGCTACTGAGATAAATCCCTGGCCCATAAATATGCATTTTATAACAGGCTGCTCAGAGGATTCTTACACACAACTAAAGTCTGACAACCAAAGTCCTTGCCAGTTCCTATTTGAACATAATTGAGCTGAGTTTAAACTGATTAAATATCAGTATCAAAAAACAAAACAAAACAAAATATCAATATCAAAAATAAAAATGAAGTATATATCAAAAATCTATTCTATTAGATTACATTCTATTAACTGATTATAGATAGATTCAATGAAGCCTCAAAAGAATAGACCTATAGTATCCATGCTTTCTTACATTCTACATTATACCAGTGAATATGATTTCATTTAACCTTTTAAATTTGAAAGCATACATAAATACAATTGTCTTACCTTGCTTGTTACATATATTTAATTTACCATGCTGATTTCGAGGGGTAGGTTATCCCTAAACCACACAACTTAGCCCTCTCATGTCGTCATTTCACATAAGTCACATATCTCATGAATTTTTATCATTATACAAGTGGTCCTCATAATGGGTTAAAGTGTGTATTTTTAAAGAGAAATTTAGTGAATTAATATTTTGGAGAATTACCACAGTTACAACAATGTAGGCTTCTCTAAGATTAAGCTTACTAATCAAGGAAATCTACATATTTTTTCCTAATCCAATCACTCTTGAGTGCTACTACCAAATTAATTTCTATGCACATATTTCAAAAAGTAAAATAGAGCATAAAAACTTCTGTACATGACCTAGCATGGAACTGCTTAGTAGAATGTGAGACACAACTGGGTGGAAAGCTGAAAAGCAGATCTTGATATTGCTTAAATTTTGGCATGTCTGAGAAAATGACATAGATGGTTTTCTTTCAAAATAACTATAATATTTTATTTATTACCAGTACCAATTCTACAATTCATTCATCTCCTTTGGATAAGAATCATCACAGTTGTATAAGGAACATGACATGAGGATATACTACCCTCAATTAACTTCTTAGTTACAAACATTTACTTGTTTCCAGAGTTTTAAACTCTAGGTGGTTTAACATCATTCACAAAAGACGGCCACTTATGATGGGAAAACTACATTAACTTGACATGATTAATATTCTTAACATTTGTATTTCTTGACATATTTTTCTAATGACCTATACATTCTTTTGTTTTAAAATAATTCTGTACATGCATCTTCGTATCTGTTTCTTCTCACCTAACACTGTGTGTTATTATTTATTATATCATGCAACAGTCACAGTAAATACTGAATGCTTTCTATAGGGTGACAACTTGACATACACTTTATTCTCGTAACAAACTTGTCAAAATGAGCATTGTAGAGGTTAGATAAGGCACTGATCATCAAACAGCTATGAGTAGTGAAATCAGGACTCCAATCCAGCACTTTCTCTCCTCAAACAGCTCCTCTCCAATCACTGCACCACACTACCTTTCAAATATTTTAAATACCAAAAAAATAAGCAGTAAGTCATCACACTATATTTTATCAAAGAAACCAGTGTTTTATTCATTTGTAATATTCAAGCTCTGTAAAAAAGAATACATCAATAAAATTATGATTCCAAAGATTTAACATACAAACTTACTTGTAACTTTCCACTTGCCGGCAGGAAGAGACAGTAATGAAAGAATCTGTACGGGAACTGTAAGCAAGAGGGCCAGGCAGAAGAGAACCAGGGAGAAATCTCCCAAAAGCATAGCTTTCCTGCTCAAACAACATCAGCATCCCATCCATAGACTGGATACAAATTAAATCTCGACCTAAAGAAGAATGGGAAGAAATAAGACAATCTTTTTATAGGTATAGTCAGTTATTACTACGTACCACAAATATGTCATAATTAATTTTTCCACAAGAGACAAACTCAAGGTAAATTTTAAATAACAAAACCAATGAAGCTATCAAGTTATTGACTATAATATACATTTATTTCTCAAAAAAAAATTTTTTTTTTGTACCAGGGATCAAACTTGGGTCCTTGTGCTTGCAAGGCAGGCCATGGAACCACTAAGTTAAATGCCCAGCCTTATTTCTCAATTTTAAATTATTCAATAGATATCTATAATTTTAAATACATTTATTTTGATTTACTATATGTTAAAATCTCTCAGTTCAAGATAATTCCTGAGAACAATCAAAACTATAAGATACTACTTCTTCCAAATTCAGAAACGTAACAAAAATTCTTCTTCATTAAAATGCTTCGTGGCATTGTAATACTGTAAGAGAATGTTCTTACTGAAAGATATGTGTTGAAGGATTTATGGACAAAGCTGTGAAAAAGTTTGTAATTTACTTTCAAACTGATACAAGAAATACCAGAGATGAAATATAAAATATTATATATCTCAACCTGTTAGATGTCTGATACGCTAAGCATGTGTTCTCTAAAAACTGAAGAATGAATTCTAGTGTGGGACCCTAGATATTTAGTCCCAAAACCTTCCCCACTTAGCTTAACTAACTCCATTTTAAGTTGAAAAAACCATAAAGTAAAGTGCCAGAACTGACCCACGGATGAGCTCAGGCAGTAAAAATTTGCTCGGTTTGCTTAGTTTACTTAGTTGCAGTAAGAACAGAGTCAGGTGGACAGGAGAAAGGCAATTCCAACCTCAAAGAAGAACAGGATGTTCTACATAAAGAAGAGCATGCCGCATGCCTAGGCACACTGACCTCTCTTTGAATCAGCTCCCTCCCTGACATAATAATTTTCCCTCTTTTGCAAGGGCCCTAGTAACATCCAATAGATTTAAAATGTTAGAAAAGAAGCCAATAGAATAGAGAGAGTTTCAAGCCACCCAAACCCTATAAAAATAAGCTAGATTAATGGGTTAGGACTTCCAGTTTGAAGCCGCTGTGTCGGTGACACTGGGAGTCCAGGCTCAGGCTTGCAATAAACTCCTCGTATATTTACAACAGAAGAGTTTCCTGGTGGTGGTCTTGGGGATTTCGCGACTTGGGCACAACACTAGGAACAATGGAGATTAAGAAAAGGAAGATATTTATTGGTAGGATAGCTCCTGAGAGGCAGGAGGAGTCCCAAAAGGGTAGCCTAGGACCCCCTTTTACAGACAAATTTTATGGAGTAAAACTCACATGGATACAATGTGGGCCACAGGCATGATCAACCAATAAGGTTACAAGTATTGTCACTTAGGTAATTAGTGTTCAATTGGGAAACAAGTCACACAACAAGTGTGGATGGAAAGAACAAAGACTTCTAGAAAATGATGGGCCCAGAGGTCTCTGGTCCCCCATGGGGGTGACTGATATCTATCTAGACTTTAATTAGGTTTGCTGTTTGTCTTTCATGGAAGTATACAGGTCTGGTTTTCTTGTCTTTATCTCCAGCAGATATGTCTCTAGCCACAGTTGTGATGTGTTTCACCTTTGTCCTGACTCTCTCGAGTGCCTAATTCTGACTGCCTATAATATTTATATCTGACTTAGCTGTCTATAATAAAATTGTTTATCAAAAAAAGTGTGAATATGTATGTATATATATATATATATATATATGTAATTACAACTGTTGATTCTACATGTGAAAATAAGGATATTTGTTACTCTGTCTATATACTTTCTATATACTTGTAGAAAAATAAAATATTGATATATACTTTATATATGAAACATTTTGAAATTACCTTGACCTAAAGGGGAAGAGGCTGTTATGGTAACCAAAACACATTCTTCATATCTGTGAAGTTAGAGCGTATGTACTTGCAAGCAGAAGTACAAATAAAAGTTGTGTTCATTTTGATATGTGATATCATTGAACCAGGATTCTGTAGTCTCCCAAAGTCCTTAAAGTAGTGGTCTGCAAAATTCGGCTGCACACCAGCAGCATCAGCATCATCTAGGAACTTCTCCTCCTCAGAAAGGCACTATACCTACTGACTCAGAAACTCTGGAGGAAGGGCTGAGCAATCAAAGTTTTAACACAGAACAAAGATGATCTGGGTATATGAAAAAGTTTCAAACACACTGCCTTTAGCATGAAAGGACAAAGAGTCAGGGCTTGAAGAAAATGTAGGGAAAGGGAAATGTAGGCAGAATAAAGAATAAAATAGGGCCTCATCAATAACCTTTATTAAAGAAATTAATAGAAAATCTTACTAGAGGCAGCTTTTGCCTCTCCAGTTAGATTCAAGCAATTAGAAAGAAAGGTAAAGAAAGACAGAAACCAGACCCTGAAAGGCCCCAAGAAACACAATTAACATAAGAATTTATCAGGAAGAGTTGACAGACAAAACAAAGGTGCAGCTAGAAAAACATGAAAGATCAGGGTTGCAGCCCCTTCACGCTATAAAATGCAAAGGAAATAAGGGGCAGCCACCTAAAAACTTTTATTTAGTTGTAAAAAGACACCTGTGTATATTCTCACTCTAGGGTCAGTATATTCTTTCACTAGATACACCCTTCAATTTCCAACTCTAAGCTGCCCTTGTATGATACTACACACACACACACACACACACACACACACACACACACACGCACTTATCCATCATAAAATGACAAGAAAGAATCAAAGGACCAAAAATGTCATAGGCAAAGGTGCCTGGGATAGAGTCAACGACAGCCAGAGTGCCAACCAGATTATTACAAGTTCCAGGTGCCACATGTGAAAGAGACACCAGTCTTGATAAAAAAGGCTGAGGACAGAGACCCATGGGAATTCACCTTTCTAATGTCCTGTGCTCTGCTGAGGAGCTGTCTCTATCTTCTCCTTCTCCCCTCCTCATTCTTCAAATAAATCATCTTTTATTTTAATCTTGGTTCCTTTAATTATTAAAAACATTTTACTGGTGCTGAGTTTTACAATCCCAGTTAGCTGCATGTTCCAGCAGAGCAATGGTGCAGTATACACTACTTGATGCAACAAAAAATTGAATTCCAAAGAAACTTGGCACTATGGCCCCCATGAACATGGCACACAAGGTCTGACTTCCTGAACTCTAGTAATACAGAGCAGAGTACTTCATATGCTGCAAAGTACAAGTGAGCTCCCTCGAGAGTCAGATAACCTGGCTTTTAATAGGCCCAAGTTTCCTTATTTGCAAGACAGTACTTCCCTCAATAACTTATGATAAACTAAAGAGAGTATGGAAACTAGAACCATTGATGGAAATACTCAATTGCATTAATATTTTCATAATTACTTTCAAAGTCTCATGCTACATGTTAAATTAGTGCTTAATTACTTGCTGTTGTCCACATGCATCTTAATGATATGGCCTTCCCTGATTTGCTTATGCAAAATTTTTCTTTTTCTCAAAAGAGAAATCACTTTCATCTTTTTTACCCTGGTCTAGTGAACATTTGCTAGGTTCCTATTGGCCATCCATTTTCCTTTCCTCCAGTGCTGTGGGCAAGACCCACCTCATTCTAACTTTGACAGCAGGCCTTGACATATAAACCTGCTAGTATCCCACTAGTTACAGTGCTCAGACACAGGCACAATTGAGACCACTGATGCAGGTGAAGTCTAAGCAACACAGATGAGTTTATTGCCATTTGGATGTAGATGGGCCAAGGGAGAAAAGACCGTTTGAACTGAGAGGAGGATGTTTGTGGTTGATATAGGGAAGTGTAGGTAGCGGAGGGGGCACTGGTCCAGAGGGTAAAAAATTTTAGAATCCCATGGGTAATGGGCCTGGGGCTGGCTGATACATAGGACAGTGGCAGGAGCAGCAGGGTGCCTACTGGTTCCTGCGGATAGCAGGTCTGCTTGGGGGAGAGTTTCCTTCTGGTTGAGCAGGGGTCCAACTTGGAGGACCTGTCAGTCAGAACTTCAGCTGGAACCAGAAGAAAAGCTACTACTCTCTTGAGAGTAACATGTGAGGACAGTAATGTCCAAACAACAGAAGCCATCTGGATTCTGTAAGGGCAAGCCATGGACAGCACTACTAGAGCCAGGGCATCAGCCTCACCGGAAGCCAAACTTATCCTGCGCTTTACAGGCAATACATTCCGTAATTGTGGAGGGCACTTGAAGTTGGCTCACTTGCTCTCTCTCTCTCTTTCTCTGAATGAAGTGAATCAATTTATTTTTCCTCCAAGAAATGAGGTTCATGTCTCTCTTTCTGGTCTGATCACCCTGTCTGTGACCCCAGAGAGTCCTATCCTTACTGCCACCTTAGAAAAATTATCTATTAAAAAGATCTGTCTCTTATTAACTGTAGGTCAGTTATGGCAAATCTTTTAGAGACTGAGTGCCAAGTTGACATCTAAAACCCATTTATTTATTGCAAAGTGCCAGCACTGCAATTAAACTCGAATATTGAGGGTTTACTTTAGAAAAAACCAATTCACTCATTAACATCTTTTGTCTTAAAAGAAAAAAAAACAAAAACAATAATATGCTTGCCATGAATTTGCCACCACTGCTGTAGACTAAACTCAAAGACAGAAACTCTCTTACTCATCTTTGTAAATCCAGGAGTTATAAAATGCCTGGCACACAGATGGTACATTAATAAATGTCTATTGAGCTGAAGTAAGCAAGGCAAAATAATTTACTCATCTGCAGTTTGGATCGGCTATTTTATTCTGTGTGCTTCATACATTTAAAATATATGAAAATGCTTTACTTATTGCAAGGTTAACTAAATTACACACACTTGATATATTAGAAGCTGTAAGAAATATAGAAAAACAGCAATACTATCTACTACTGCCATTTACTGAACACTTATTAAAGTCCTAGCTTTGTATTAACACTCCGCAAGGATATTAACTACAATCTCTAATAATT